TCATCATCTCTTAAGCCTTGTGGTGGTGTCAAGATAGAAGTCCTGTTCAGTCTACAAAGGCTTCTTACAAAGTCTGGACCTCTGGGCACTGGAGAGCTGCAGCAGATGATTGCCCACCACATGCATTCACACATTTGCACAGCGTGCATTTGGCACATTCTGAAAGGTATGCCTTTTGCTCCCTTCATGCTGTGCTGGAGGCAGTCACGTTTCCAAAGAATTCAGTCATAACCTTCTAGAAGAACCCGTGTGGATACTGAAATTAATTCAGCTTTCTCTGGCTGATGACAGGCCTTTTTATCCACGAGTCTTTGCAAAAGAAAGTAAGGTAAGGGAAAGTGGCAGAGTTGCTATCTTCACTATGAATTTTGATGTAGTTACACAGCATTGCCGTGGCTGTTCTTTCACTCCTAGCTTTACCTAGATAAGTATGGTTTGCAGAGGTTTTGGGAAAACATACTGACAGCACACAGTTGAAGGGCTGCTAGAATGGTGCTAGGATCCATACCTGTGGTAGGACTGCTCACTTTCCCAGATGATAAACGTGACGGCAGAAAGATCAAACTTCCTACTTCTGTAGTCTGTACTAAACCAGCAAGAGTGAGAAATATATTAGAAATCATCCTGCTTAGGTACACAAGGATGTCCCAACTTCTGAAATATCCCTGGAGCCCTCCTCAGGGACCCCAGGATCCCAGCTAACTTGTCTGGGTACTGAGGTAGGGTGAGCCTGGAAAGCGCTGGAACACAGGTAATAGCTGGCTGATGTGCAAACACACCATGTTGCCAGTGACTGGTAGGGCTCAGGCTCCTCTTTCACCACCTCTTTCTCAATCTGTCAAGAGTGGGTTCAACCAGGTGATTGGCTCCTCCCTGAATATCAAGCATATGTAGCATCTAAGCCTAACACTGATGCTAGCCTCTGGCTTATTTTAAAAGCCACTTGAGCCCTTCTTACCTTGTTTTTCTATCTATAAAATGAGATCCTTATGTATTGTTCGGAATGATATGATCAGGAATTAAACACAAAGTCCCGTACAACATAGGACTGTGCAGGTTGAGTTAATGCAATTGCTCTGTGCACATATGATCTTAATCTAGAAAATGCTTTGGTTAGAGTAACTGCTTGGACAGAGGTAGAAAGGTGGTGAATCATTTCCAGCTCTTGAAAAATGTGTTCTGCTCTCCAGCCAAGACCTGGCCAGCCCCATCAGCCTGAGAATCATGGGAGCAAGCTTACAACATGCTGGGAGAGGACTAGGCAGTTCTTTAGTGCCCAGAGTCCCTCCATCAGTTTCTAAAAGTGTCAGGACTCCTCATTCTGCATTTCTTCTCTGGAGATTGTTGCTGGATCTCAGGAGGTTACCTGGCCTCAGATGCAGGGATTCACTTTTTCCCCTCATGCTGCTGGAATTATTATAGCCATTTTTTCACCCTTGGGGACTGTCTGTCTCTCCTATTCAGCATGTAGGTGCTAACATGAATCTCAGCTAGGGACTATGGGAAAAAGCATGAAAATGTCAGCAGGTGGCATCTGAAAGAAGGTAGATAATCTCTAGATAATCTTCAAGCAGTTGCAGAGATAATCAACGTTTTGCTCTGGAGATCCCTGATCTCAGTGCATCTTATCTCTAAAACTTGCTCTGGGCATGACAGGAGCAGACAGAGATGGCTTGCTCTATCCAGGTGTGAGTTACATGATACATAACTTGTGCTAAGGATGTTAATTTGAACTACTCATCCAATTGTAGCCCTTAGTCCCATCCACCAACCTGCAGCACACAGATGACATACAAGAATCAGTAACCTGCAAGAAAACCTTTCCCAGGTGCAACAAATTGCCGTCGCTTCATCCTAAACACCTGCACTGATCTTCAGAGAGAGGATTGATAGCAGACATTCGCTGTTTCTTATGCTGTTAGCAGGTGTTTCTGTAGCTCTGTCCAAGCAGTGCAGGATGGGTCTGTGTGGGGCTGTGCTGATTTTACCTGTCTTTTCTTTATTAATCAAGGGGACAGAGTATGTGGCTATTGAATGGGTTTGGCAGAGGATAAAACTAAGCTGTCTGGGAAGGTGAGTGCTGGTGGGATTGACCTGATGTGAGCCTGTCTGGGAAGTCAGTAGAAGAAGTGGCCTGCAGTCACTTGGAGCGCCACCTCAGCCCATAGCCTGGGACAGGGGGCACAGCTGGGCACAAGGCAGCAGCCCAAATGCCACGTTACCAAGCTGATGTTATGTTTTAGCCCTGCTCGCTCGTACGGTCTCAAGCGTGGGGCGCCTGTGGGTTGGGGCTGGGGCCATGGGGCTCTCCTGTGATGGAGTGCGGCTGCCCCCCTCTGGCTGCTTTTTCCCCCGCTAAATTCTCATCACAACATACTTCTCAGAATATAGCGAAAATGAAACCAAACGTACCACCTTGTTCCTTTTGAGTGTGTTTTACTGTGATTAACTCCTTCCCAGTGCACTGTATGTAACAAGGCATTTAAGTTCAGAATGCTCCTGTCCACTTTGCCTAATGACAGCAATCAAATAACATTCCTCTTATTGATCAAAACTGTCCCAGTAGGGACAACACTGAGAAGGAGGCCCCTTGGTCCCCAGTGATGCACAAAAGCAGGACTTCATTTCAGCCTTCATCCTCCAGCTTCACTCCCCAAAGCAGATGTGAAGGTCTTGCAGCTATAGAGATACATAACACCTGTGCTGGTATTTAAATACCAGAAAACATTTTTATTTGAATAACTTGTTTACTATCTTGGATATCCACTACATAGTTGTTTTGTTTCCTTTTTGGAAAGGGCATGTCATAAAACCAAGGAGCCATGTAATTGTGTTATTATACATATTTCCTACTCTAAGGATTCTATGTTTCGTCCTCTTTTCTCTGCCTTTCATTCAAACTGTTTGTAAAACATTTTAATTTTGACGCTGTACAGGAAATCAGATATTCCTTTCTGAATCCCTTCTACCTGAGTTCACTCTCATGTATTTGCCACAGGATGTGATCTTCGCACTAAAATAAATGACAGAATTAGCTGTGGCTTATACTTCTTTATAAAGCAGTTAACATATCAATCATGACAGAAAATAATTTTAAGTGAGAATTCAAAGGAAACCACAGCCAGTAGTTAGTAGTTTAGTGCTTTCAGAAATTAATGTTAAACTGTAAACTGCTGTTGCTGCCCCCTGACAAGTTTTCAGCCTCCCCTCAGAGTAGGAGAATTGGCTCTTAGAAACAAGCCAGTGAACATGCTTGATGCAGCAAGCCCATGGATTGCAGGAATTGGCTGGCTTAGCCAAATTCTGTCATCTCTAGCAAGAAAAGCTGCTATGGGGCCTGGTGGGACAGATGGCTTTATGTCAGACATCAGAAAGTAATGGCCCATCATTGTTTCATACTATGCAAATAAATCAAAACATTTTCAAGTTCTCTTGAAGAAATGTTCTTCTTGCAGAAGGGTAAGAGGGAGGCAATTTCCTCTGCAGTAAGTGCAGTAAGTGGTTGCCTGTAGCTGGTTGTGAGCTATTCTGCTGACAGCCTACCTGCTTGGGGAACCTCTGTGTGCAGTGAATGAGTGCTCAGTTCAGGAAGCAGTTTAACCCGCATTGTTTCATAAGGAATTTATTGACAGGAGAAGTTCTGGGGCTATGATTTTTGTCTTACCCTATTGTGCTGAATCCACTGTGAGGATGGTTTCTGGGTTTAGAAATAAACCTGCCTGTGTATTTCTAGAGTGTTTCTTCTAAGCCCGCTGAAAAACTGGCTTCATCGCAGAGAAGGATTGGAGAAGAGAAATTATGTTTGGCTTTCACAAGAATGGGTGGTTGGTGAATAAATGAATACATATGAGATAAGGACAGAAAAGGTGCTATTAGAAAAATGCTGGATGCTATCTTCTATTAGGTGAGAAAAGGGGATGTCCTCATCCAGCTGGCCTGGCAGTGTCACCTGTATGAACACAACAATCCAGGGAAAATATACCTGCTTGTACCTTTGAGCCCTGTGGCCCTACAGCTGCTAACCTGGGTAGTCAGGAAAAGTACCTCCCCATGGAGAACTGCTTGCAAAAGTCTTGAGGAGGGACCAGGGTCAGACTACATGTTCCTTTGCCATCTTACTGCAGCACCTGTGAGATGTGGGACTACTTCTTGCTGCTACCTGGTGGGTGAACATCATCACCCCCTTGCTCTTGTGATTTGCAGTTTTGCCTGACAGTCCTGGTTTGCAGCAGAGCAAGCAGGCACTGCAGGGTTTTGTGGCAGTTCTGTAAAAGTTGAAGAGCTCAGCACCTGGCTTCCAAAGCAAACACTAGGACTTTACTCTCACTTTCTGCTCCTGCCTTTAATAATGAGTTGCAAGGAGGAAGCTGGGAAGCTGTGACCGGGATTGCTTTGGGTCCAAACCCAGCTTCTCGCTGGGAGCAGCGGTTCCAGAGCTGCTACCCCTCCGAGCCAGGGCTGCCGGCGCCACCTGGTGACAACCTCAGCCCAGTCCCGCACAGCTTTCTATTCTTCGACCCTTCCCGAGAAGTTCAGACCTTCCTCCGTCGCGGACGGTCTGTCCGACTGTGCCCACCGTGTGCCCGCTCCGGTGGCGTTCGCTCGGGTACCCGCTGTGCTTCCCGGTCGGAGCCCATCTATGCTGCAGGTGGCCCGAGGGGTCCGATTGAATCCCAGCCACCCCCTCCTCCCTGCAACTCTGGCACTGTCTCCTGGCAGCCTCCTGTTGCCACAGCCCCACCGGGGTCTGTCATCTCAGTTAGGAGCAGGGCCATGTCACTGTAGGGCTGACGGTGGTTTTTATGGTGGTTGGTGCCACCCTCCCATACGTATCACCAGCTGAGCTGGTATAAAACAGAGTGTGTGCGCTCTCTGTGGGATGCTGGTCATGCACCCTCTCCCAGGCAGCTGAGGCAGACGTGCTGTTTGGCACTGACTGATTCCCTCTCTGCTAGCTCACAGCTCCAGCTGATAAGCACTTCTGCTGCCAGTAAATAGCTATGAGTTCTTCTCACCTGAGCAACAGAGTTGAGAGCCGCTTTCGATCTCCAGAGGAGCATGAACTGGAGGCTGTGGGGAAGAAAGCCTGGGATAATCCTGTCTACAATGGCTCGCCCTCTACCTCCTTGAAGATTCGAGCCATCTACAATCCCAAATCAATTCTGGAGAATCCCTATGAGAGTTTTGAAGAGGCGAGGGATCCGGTGCCATACCAGGAGGAACAGAACAAAACTATGGAGGAGAAGACAAGTTCTTTCCTCAAGTGCTGCTTCTACATCCTCAGAGGCATCCGAGGTAAAGCTCTGACATCTCAGTAGTTTGGATTTACTAGCCCTTGGGAAAAGCAATGATACTTGGGTGGGAAGTGTGGGGTTGCAGAAGGTAGGAGCTGCATAATACCTGTATAGAGCAGGAACGTGCTCAGTATAGACGGGTTTTACTCCAGGCATCATCTTTAGCTGACCTGGAAGGAGCATCCACATTGCGTGAACGACAGCTGTCCTTACATTTACAGTCTAGCATTGTTAATTGACAAAGAAGCCAGAGCAGAGGTGTATAGAGATCTCTGGTTTACCAAGGAGCAATGCAGGCTGGGGTTGGTAGGTTAAGAAAAAGAAAAAATAAATCCATACTTTATCAGCAAAATTCAGTTTTTGAAATTGGAGTGTGCAAATGAAAATAGAGATCAGGACAGTGCAGCATTCCCTTCTTTTATGGTAGTTGCAGCAGTGTTTCCCACCAGCAAGGTTAGTAAACAGTAGGGTTGTAGGATAGACCAGAGCTGGGCAGGTGAGGTCCAAAGGTTGGGACAGGCAGCAGAAATGGCTCAACTGATCTCATAGGGATATCTCTATTCTCAACATGTGGACACTGGGGGTTCCCTGCCTCATGTTGGGGGTTGGGGGGGGAGGAAAAAAAAAAAAAAAAACCTGAAATATTGTGGTATAGTCATATCTAGAGATGAAGGGGGTAATTTAAGTGACCTGAACAGATTGTCCTTATCAACAAGCCCCTCACACTCAAAGTTCTTGCCCTTTAAATTCCTTTGGTTGCACTGCTCACGTTTTCTTGTCTTTCATTGTTTATTACACAGAAAAATGAGAATAAGACTGAAATCATCAGGGGTCCAATGACAACAGTGAAACTTAGGCCAGCTACTCAGAGAAGGGTGCTTTCTTTGTACTGTCTCAGTCTTATTGTTGTCACTTTTGGTAATGTGTCTGCCCTGTTGTTTCCCACAGTTTTGTTTTATTTTGTTTTTCTTTCCATTATGGAAGTTCTCATAGACCACATGCTCCTCATTTGCAGTAGAATAAATCCACACCTCGTGTAGGTGCTCATTTCCACTGCTCGGCTTGGTATGGCTAGAGCAGTCTGTCCAAGAGTGAGCGCGGATGCTGAGAAAGTCAGTATGACATCTGAAAGTACAAAAAAGCTCTCTACTTTGTTGAGATGCCAAAGAGCTATCAACAGGATGGAGGTGAATGTTCACAGGCCACTGCAGCACTTTTGCTTGCGCCAGAGCAAAGAGCCCAACTCCTTCCTTTGCCAGGGATGACTTCAGATGTGCTGCCTTTGATCCTGGCTTGCAGGAAGATGGTTGTTGTGCCCCGCTGGGGATGAGTACCAGGGCTGAGCTCTCTAGGAGGTGCTGAAAACACAGAGTCTGTGGTTATTATTGATACAGATTCCATCACCAGGCTTTCAAGTGGAAGTTCTTCTGCCTTTTAACTGCAAAAAAAGTTTCTGAAATTACGATGTAAAGCCATTATGCAAGAACAAGCAGAGTCATTAAAGGTGTCTGGCGGTTCTTCAAAACCAAAATATTGAAGTTTCTTTAAAAGGAAGTGTTCCTGTCTTTTTGATCAATCCTAATGACATTTTATGAGTTCCTTTCACCGTGTGAAGGAATCAGAACATTAACTGGTATAAATTGGCATATTTTATTGAAGTCAGCGTAGTTCCATTGACGGACATCCTGAAGACAATTTGGCTTTATATTTTATGCTGAAAATATTGAGTTGAGCTATTTGATTGAGTCTTATAGCATACCAAATATCTGAGAGTTTGTGAACAAGTAAGGGACAGATATTTTGAGCTTGGCAGTTCATCATACTCTAAAAAGAGCTAATAACTGTAAAGTGAACGTCAGATGCAGTTCAGTATAGAAGTCCTTACTAGAAGGTAAGATGTTGGCATGTGCGTGACTGATGAAATTACATAATTCCTAGAGAACTTATGAGAAAGACTGAATTTCTGCAAGAAGTAAGCTGAAAAACAGGCAGGAAAAGATCGGTCCTCGCTGAATTCAGGCAGGAAGCTGGAGGGGTTTAGCAAAACAAAACAAAAAACCAAAACAACAACAACAAAAAAGGGAAATGTCATTCTTTGGAAATAGAGCTCCTCACGTAGCCTTTGAGAATGGTCATCAAACTCTCCATTTCTTTCCTTACATCCCAAAGGTCTGTGGGGCACTACGCTAACTGAGAATACAGCTGAAAACAGAGAACTTTATGTGAAGACTACTCTACGAGAGCTCCTAGTCTACATTGTGTTCTTGGTGGACATATGTCTGCGTAAGTAACGTATCTCACTGGTGTGCAACACATGGGGGGCTTTGTTATTAGACTTCCTCATCCTGCTGTACAGGTTAAATTTATTGTACGAATACCCACTGCAGCATGTGGGTGTGTTGTTAACCTAAAGAATAGCTCTGCACAAGTGAAAAAGCTGAAAATTGCTCTAAACTGGTTAAACCTGCTAGGTTTAAGCAGTGTTTCCAAAGCTGTGTTATCAGTTCCAGCTGTTGACGTCACAGAGTCTGGGGAGAATCGGTGCAAAGTTCTTGTTCTACAGAAAACGTTCAAGCGTAAGACAGCAGCTTTAGAAACTTCTTGGGATCAGAGACACAGGGTTCTGAGAGATATTCCTCTCTGAGACTGGTAGGGCTGCTGAAGCGATAGTGCAGATGGCAGCTCATGTTGTTCTTGGGTGGATTTAATGCGGCGCTGTACTGAATGCTAATGGGCTTTGTGGGGTTAGAACAATGTCTGTGTGGTTTTTTGGGAAGTTTCATTCGTTATCGCAAATTAGCAGCTGAGGCATGAAGCAGTGGAAAGGGTTATATTTCATGGGCCCTATGGCAGGAGAGATAAACAGACAGTGCCAATCTGAGGTACTATCGCACTGACCCAGGGAGATAGTGCTTCCTAAAGAACTAGGATGTGCACACAGGCGTACACGTGGTCGCACAGTGATTCATATAGAAGCATTGGATGCTAAACGTCAGCTGCTTTATTTTTGTGATACCCTTTCAGTAGTTGGACATGTTCTTAGTGATCACCATGATGAATGCTCTTCCACAGAGAGGAGTCCTGGAGAGTTGAAACAACATGTTCAGGGACATTTTGAGGTTTTTTAGTATGTGAAAACTTACATAGAGCGTTCCACTCAGGAACATGGATAGTTTCTATATACCTTCATAAATTTAGATCAAAACTGAGGTGCATTCAAAGTACATCTCCAGAATGATGTTCTGAGAAAGACTTCTCTCAGAGTTTTTCTCTGAGGGAGGAAAGATAATGTTATCCAGGAGAATAAGTTATATTATCCAGTGGTCTTCTCTGGCCTTTAAATACCTAAAATCTGTCAGTCTGATGGTTTAAATTCTAGAGCATGCGGCAAATGAAGTTGTAGATCCTTAAGCAAGCAAAAAGTTATGTGACTTGCATTCCCAAGGTCTCATCACTTGCGTCTTGCTCAGCTTATTTACATAGAATAAACTGCACAGAAAATGAACGTGTGTGTGTCTATATATGTATATATATATGGCTCCAAGATTTAGGTGTAAGGGCGGCCCTTTTCTTTTCTCCTAGTGACATATGGTATGACAAGTTCCAGTGCCTATTACTACACAAAAGTGATGTCTGAGCTATTCCTGCAGAGCTCTTCGGACAACCGTGTCTCCTTCCAGTCCATTGGCAGCATGGCTGACTTCTGGGTGGTGAGTACACTCGTGGCCTGGCATGGTGAGCCAAAGAAATATCAGTGAGGCTGGGATATTCAGTTCCTCCCGAATGTGCTGCTTAATGCTTTCAGCAAAACATTTTACTGCTTGCTAGCTGTTAGCAATAGTTTGTCATATGCATGCAGAATATCCACAGGCTTAAAATATATTATACTGCTCTTAGCGCTGTGGCCAGAATATTGGCCAGTCTGAGTGTTACTTGTATCGATTAGAGTCCAGAATTTATCAGCCAAACAAGCCAGGACATAACAAAAAGAAACTGCTACACTTGTACACGTAATGAGTTCAGACCCAGACAGTCCAAGTGATTTATTCCAGGCTTTCTCGTGTTAGAAATGGCTTTGAATCCTACAGTCTAATATCTTCATGTTTGTCTCCTAGCAATAATCTTATTTCCATTTTTATGAGTAACTGTGGGAACAGCATGCTTAACCTGCCTGTAATTTATGCCTGGGCTTGTCTGACCTGTAGATTTTTTAATGAAGAAGCTGGATTAAAATTTGCACTAACTGTTGTGAAAGAAAATAAAGTTGGAAAAAATGTTTGGAATCCAGTGTGTTTTTATCAAAGAACTGGAGAAGGAATAATATTGGGTCACAGTGAATGTTGTTGAGATATTGCAACCACTTATCTCTGACAGTCAGCCAGAAATTCATTGTCAGCTATCTTTGTCTTTCTCTGATGTATTAAAATAGGACAATGAACTGTGACACTGTTGCTTCCCCCCAGCATTTCCAGGGAGCTGGTCCGCCCTGTCTTTGTAATTCATACCTTATGCCAAGACAGTTCCTCAAAACTTGTGTTCACCAAAGAGGAAGAGACAAAAAGACTTGCAGAGCCCTTGTCTCTTCATTAGCACAAGGTGCAGAAAGCATGTTACAAACCTGTGAGGAGCTAACAAAGCAACCTGCTGCTCAGCATCCCTCTTCTGTCTTGCAATTCCACCCAGCCCTGTATGTGTGCTCCCATCCTTAGCATATATCCGACACAAGTTCTACTACTTCCCACCTCGGGGAGTAGAGCAGCGTGGGTCAGGTCTTACCATCTCAAGTCCAGGCCGAGAAAATTCCTCTCTTCTCCCTCTCATGCAGTATGCACAAGGTCCTCTTCTGGATAATCTTTACTGGACAAAGTGGTACAACAATGAGTCCCTAGCGGCGCACAACACTCAGTCATACATCTATTACGAGAACCTGCTACTGGGTGTCCCACGCATGCGACAGCTGAAGGTGAAGAACAACTCCTGTGTGGTTCATGATGACTTCAAAGAGGAGATCTCAGGCTGCTATGATGTATACTCAGAAGACAAAGAGGAAAAAGTCTCCTTTGGACTCATCAATGGAACAGCGTAAGTACACCTTCTACTGTTCAGAATTAAAAAGTCTGTGATTTCTATTTTTATTTTTTATTGATGCAAATTATTCACTTCTGTTTAAAGTAAGATCTGCTGAATGCTGGAATTTCCCTTGCAGTTAAAGGTAAAGAATTAGAACAGACATTTTGTCTGTTTTTAAGAGAATGTACCGCTTTCATCTTGATAATATTTTTCCAAGATTTTCCTAGCAATTTTTTTTTTTTTTCTTAAGAGATATCCGAATCACTTTCTTAAGACCCAGCCCTTCTAATTTCTAATTGAAATGGAAGGTAGCACATAAAACCAGCCTCACACTTAGATAGTGGGTTGGGTGGTCTTTTTTTTTTTTCCCCCCCTTACTTGTGATTCATGCAGTTCAGTGTGGATTTTCCTCTGTAATGCTGTGGAGCAGCTGCAGTTTAATAACTCCTTACTTGCAGCTTGAGAAGCTGTGAAAGAGAAACTGTTGTTCATAAAGTCGTGCAAGTGTGCTCAAAGCAGAGGGCTGTATGCCACATGTTAGAAGGCAATATAGCAGATCCTTGGAGTAACCTCCTCCAAACAAGTAAGGTAGCATAGTCAGTGAACCTGCAGAAATTTCACTCCATAATACGATAAGTTGTGTTCTGTCACTACTGAAAGTCACTAGATCAGTAATCTATTGACAGTGAAGGACTGATGTAGGCTCAGCCCTGGAACAGGAGTTAAGTGCTAACTCTTTGATTAACTGCTCTATATTTTGAAGAAATGGTTTCATTTCTCCTGGCCGCAAGGTTGTATCCCAGGCTGTGGGTGGTAAGCGATGCCTTTGCTCATAGATAATCTGTTGCAGGTGGAGGTACCATTCTGAGGAAGAGCTGGGTGGCTCATCTCACTGGGGAAGACTAACCAGTTACAGTGGGGGAGGATACTACATAGACCTCAAGTTGACCAGAGAAGAGAGTGCTGAAGCCCTGCAAGTCTTGAAGGAGAAATTGTGGTTGGATCGGGGGACACGAGTTGTCTTCATTGATTTCTCGGTGTATAATGCAAATATCAATCTGTTCTGTGTTCTGAGGTAGGCTGAGTCCCACTGGAAATTCTACTGCCTCTTACTTTTTTCTTGATGCTGTAGTGTCTTAAAATGCAAAAATAACCTTGTCTGCAACTGGTTGTAGGACTGGATGGCATCAGTAGATACTGTGTGGATTAGACTTAGTTTTCCTGACACTACTAGTCACCCTTCTTGGCCTTTCATTCTTTCCGGTCATGAGTAGTGAAGCATCAGAAAAAAGAAAGCATAAACACCCACACAACTCTTCCACACATAGTGTGGCGGGTATCTCATTCTCAAGTTTGATGCCTCCATTTCCCCTTTCTAATTATCAGTATTTTCTTTTCCCCTTGAAGGTTAGTGGTGGAGTTTCCAGCCACTGGTGGTGCCATTCCCTCCTGGCAAATCCGGACAGTCAAGCTTATACGATATGTCAGCGCATGGGATTTCTTCATTGTTGCCTGTGAAGTTATTTTCTGTGTCTTCATCTTCTACTATGTGGTGGAGGAGATTTTGGAGCTGCGTATCCACAGGCTTCAGTACTTTACCAGCATATGGAACATCTTGGATGTGGTTGTCATTCTGGTGAGGATGCTTGCACGCTTTCTTTTTTTTTCTTTGGCTGAAGGGTATGAAAAACAGAACTAATGAAAGAAAGGAGAAACTCATCTAGATAAGAACTGGCACATATTTTGCTCTTATAGAAAAATGGACCAGCAAAATAGACGTACGTTCATCTGTCAGGTATTAGAAGAAAATTCTTAATCATGCTTTTGAGGTTGTGAAGTAAGGGAGTAAGGTAATCCACTGCATTACAGTCTTGTTTACATCCTCACCAGTAGACTTATGAACTGTGACACTAAGGAATTCTGTGGCATGTTAACTTCTCTAGTCACTGCAGATCCTTCATTTTTACAGCTCTCCATTGTTGCTATTGGATTTCACATCTTTCGTACCATAGAGGTGAACAGACTGTTGGGGGAGCTGCTGAAACATCCTGAAACCTACGCGGACTTTGAGTTCCTAGCATTCTGGCAGACTCAGTACAATAATATGAATGCAGTCAACTTATTCTTCGCGTGGATCAAGGTATTGTAAGGAAAGTGCCAGGGTTTCAGACTCATACCTCTTCCTCTAGATAGCTTGGGATTAATTCTTTCATCTGAGTGAATGAGGCTAACAGTTATAAAACAGGGAATTATTTCTCTAAGTGGCATAAGCTCAATTTCATAGTTAATCCAGACAGCTTTTCACCTTTTTCACCTTCAAGACCTGCCTGGATGCCTACCTGTGCTACCTGGTGTAGGGAACCTGCTTTGGCAGGGGGGTTGGACTCGATGATCTCTGGAGGTCCCTTCCAACCCCTACAATTCTGTGATTCTGTGATTCTTACTTTCTGAATCCAGTTATGTGGAGATAAACAGGGAAATGAGCTCGGAAGTTGTGTAAAAGACTTTTTTTTTTTTTTTTTTTTTTTTTAATTAAATGCTGAGTACAGTGCAATTTTGTCCATCATGTACTGTTTTCACTATCACTACCCAACAACTGGAGGTGACTTGTCTGTTGATAGGCATCCTGCATGTCAATGAAAGCATGTTGGTGTGATGGAAGGCTATGCTGTACTTAGGGATCCTCACTATCGTCAAGATGTGTATCCTCTTTATATTTTCATTTGTGGCAGGGAGGAAATTCTTATGTTTATCACCTCATAGGAAAGTGGTAGCATGTCTGGGGCAAACATCCTGAACTCTAGGCCACTATTCCCTCAGCCTGGCTATCTCCTTGGTGCTTTAGTAAGCATATGTGTGAAGGAGAGAGATTGACTTTGCTGATGGTTTGACCTAACTTTGTCCCTATTTTTTTTTCTTTCTTGCAGATATTCAAGTATATTAGCTTTAACAAAACAATGACTCAGCTGTCCTCCACGTTGGCACGTTGTGCCAAGGACATTCTGGGCTTTGCCATTATGTTCTTTATTGTCTTCTTTGCTTATGCCCAGTTGGGTTACCTTCTTTTTGGGACACAAGTGGAAAACTTCAGTACCTTTGTTAAATGCATGTAAGTGTATTGGCCATAATTAAGTTTTCACTGTTGCCAGCTGTTGTCTAAAGAATTTTAACTGCTTTCCAACCTATTCCCAACTGCAAATTTGATTGTCGGGTGGATACCTGTTATCTCTCATGTACTAAAACCACAATAGCTAAAAAGTGGATCATAGTCCCACATTCGTAATGTCATCATGGACAAAGGAACACAGTGAGAAAATTGAAGGTAACAGATTTGATTGTCTAGTGATTATCAGCAGGGATGTGAGCAGCTGATGCTTTGAGACTCTTCACAGCCTTTTGATTCAACAGAAATCCCAGCCTGACAGTTTAGTGAGCAGTTTTGTTTGTCAGTAATATAGACATCTTTTGATGTGGCATTGCTGGGTACAGCAACAGCACTTGGCATGCAGCGTAACTTACAACAATTCTGCACAAAAGCATCATAGCTCAGCTGATAGTGAACAGTGTAGTTACTGCTCTCCTCACCAATCTGTCACCTTCCGATCTCCTGTGGGGCCACTGAGGTAACAGAATGATGTTGTCTGCTGCTGAGACATTAACAGATTTCTGGTTTTATACAACAGCAGGTAGCTTTTGGTCTACTTATGTTCAACTTCTCTATTTTGGTGGTAGGAACTAAATTCCTCAAAATAGGTGTTGTGAGGTAAGCCCAGTGTTATTTCTCTAATAAAGAAGAGGTCCAGATAGAAGCTCTGGTGCTTTGAAATGTTGTGGCTTCCAAATAGAGCCACTGATCACATAATTTCAGTGTCTGCACAACAGCTGCTTGAAAACTTTCTCATTTTTCCTCAGGTGGTGTATTTTAATGTAAAGGAAGATTTGGTAAAAATATTATTTCTTGCTTCAGGACTTCAAAAGGAAAGATTGGAAGTAATGCATTAGTCAGTATGATAGCTTTAAGCACTGAAACAGGAAAAAGTCAGAAACTACTTCTATTATTAATTTGTTTGATATAAAATATGATGTTAGAAATATTCAATATATTAAATACGATAGAGTATATTTGGTAACTGCCTTTAAAATACATAATATTTTATGTAGTTTATATCTGATTTTAATATTATGGCATATCTGCTTCAAAATAACAGGTCTTTCTGAAGGTTGATAGTCCTAATATGTTTATTTTAACACATTCAGCATGATGTTTTGTAAGTCGAATAGTAGTCTAAAGAAGACGAAGTAGACATTTTTCAAAGCAAAAGAAATAAAAAGATATTTATTACCAGAGGGAAACATTTCAACATTACTGAATGGGAACAAATTAAATCAAAGAAGTGGAAGCAATACTATATTCCTCTCTCTTAGACCTGAAGGACATTCCCAACTCTCTCATATAGACCAAAAGAATCCAAAATGGAGCTTTGGACTCCTCAGACAGGCTGCAAGATCTCAAGATTCTTTTCCTTGCACACCACTTGTGTGTCTTCTTTCTGCATGCCTCCCTGCATGCCCCCCTATTTTTTTCCTCCTAGTTGCAGTATGTCTGTCTGCATGTGTCTATTTATCAGGGCTGTTTCAGCGGTCAGTTTCCAGAGAAGCTTCACAGATTATGTCAGGACATCTTAGATGGGGGATGAACAGCGAGTAGATGAGCACCTGCAGAAGAGACTGTCAATGAAGCAGGTTAAGAATGCTGGTCTTGGACAATCCTTCAGCTCACGTGCTCTCTAGGGCAATATGTGGGAGTTATGTGGTATAGCAGTGGTTTTCTGCCTATGCTCGTAGACCTCTGGCACCCAGGTTCTGCTTTTAGGGAGACTATAAGAAATGGTCCCTCTCTCAGAGTCTTGGACCCTGCTTTGGACCATCTTGGCTGCAGGCAAGTTTAGAGTTCTTCTCAGGACTGTCTTTAGGAAGTAAGGTAAACATATATGCCTATGTGTGACCTTGTGTTCTTCCTTTCCCCCAGCTTCACGCAATTTCGGATCATTCTTGGTGACTTTGACTACAATTCTATTGACAATGCCAACAGGGTCCTTGGGCCTGTTTATTTCGTCACCTACGTGTTCTTTGTTTTCTTTGTGCTCCTGGTAAGCAAGAAAGGCCTCCTTACCTCTATTTGACAGCAGTGTTTGAGAGACCCCTCAATCCCCCCTCTCTGACTTCCTAGGTAATGGATGCAGAGGGATGTTCATTAAATTAAATACTGTCAAGAGTGTAAATGTAGCTTAAGATATTGTAGGAGAGGCTACTGGAGGTGGTGTCTGAGCTGAGAATAAATGTACCTTTGGCCACTGCTTTAGCTATCAGCTTTCCTCCCCAGTCCTTCCCTTTTCCTAAGGTATTGCCCCATGTGAGAACAGCGACTTGTTTAACTGAGCCCTGCACAGCTATGTTGGTATCTTGCTGCCTCACCTGCTGGGGTGGGCAAAGTGTCTCAGGCTAAACTCTTTTTTTCCTATTTCTTTAGAACATGTTTCTGGCCATCATCAATGATACCTACTCAGAAGTCAAGGAGGAGCTTTCAAGCCAGAAGGATGAGCTGCAGCTCTCAGACATCTTGAAGCAGGTGATGAATAGCAAAAACTGTGTTACTTTCTAGCCAAATCCTGAAACATTTTCTTGGAGTTCCTGACCTGTGTTGAACTTACTGTAGAAAAAACTGGTTTCCAGATCCACTTACTGATATGCAGAACAGCAACAGAAGTCATATCCCTTCAAGAATAGATCAAGTTCCCAGATTCTTAGGCAATGGGAGGATGAGAAAGCAAGAGTTGAGGGAATCCTGTTGCTTAAGTATGCCAGAAAAGTTTCTCAACAACTTTTCTTCCCTAGACTATATATATATGTACACACACACACACAAAGCTCCATCAGTCCTTTATACAGTGCTCTTTGATCAATAGCAAATGAAACAACAGGTTCTATTTTGCTGATCTTAGCATTTTACAGTAGTGTGAATCTGCTGGGTTACATCTGGATTTCCCATGGACAAATTCCAGAAATGGTCCTGAAGGTTCTCTGCTGTCTATGCTGTAGGACCAGTATTCTGCAAAGAATGATATTTGAGAGAATGTCTTAAGCAGTTTATGACTGGGAGCTTGGTTAAAGTGAGGCTTGGGAGGAGAAAAGCAGATGGCAAGTTTTTTCATGGAGGTAGAGTGTTGGTGCTGCTTTGAAGTGGTGACTCTGGTTTATAAATGAGACATAGTCTGTAGCATTGTATCTGTGCTGCTTTAAAACTGAAAATCTTGTACCAATCAGCATCTGCTCACCCATATTGCATTGTACACCCTTTCTTATTTTTTCACTGTTCTGAATTCATTTACACCTTTGTTAACAGAGCTACAACCGGACGCTTATGAGGTTGAAGCTGAAAAAGGAACGGATTTCTGATGTGCAGAAAGCATTGCAGAATGGAACAAAAGAACTGGGCTTTGAGGACTTCAAGAACAGCTTGAAGGAGTGAGTGAGTCAGCTTGTGGGATGTCTTTTTATCCCTTTCTCTCAGTCACACTTGTAATTTAAACTCTGTAATGTTCAAGGCCTGGAGAGCAATTAAGTCAGATTATGGCAATAAAAGATGCATAAAAAAGAGTTATCACAGCTTCTCACATGTTTAATCTCATGATCTAAATAGAGTTGTGTTGCTGTCTCCCTCAAAAGTGGAATATTTAAGCTCCTCATTGGCAGGAGGCAGCAGTACACTCATTTCAAAAGGGGTGCTCCTGTGCTGTTAGGGCTCGCGTAATCTGGTGCCTTGAGCCTTACCTTTTTGTTCTTCCACAGACTGGGCCATGCGGACCATGAGATCACAGCAGCCTTCTCCAGGTTTGACAAAGATGGCAACCACATCCTTGATGAAGAGGAGCAGCAGCAGATGAAGCATGACCTAGAGGCAAAAAGGGTAAAAAAACAAACAAACAAAAAAAAACCCAAACCAAAAACAGGTGAGGAATGAAGCTCTGCTAATCAGTAGAGATCACTCCAGGATGGCCTCAGGAATCTTTGGATTTGTGATATAAAATAAGCAGGCAGAGTACAACTCCAACTCTGTCTGAACAGCAGCTGAGTACATGACCTACTTGTGAATCTGTGTGTTTGGTTAACAGTGAATCTGATACAGAGTTAATATCCAACTTCTCAACAATTTCTTTATCTGTCTTCCAGGTTGCTCTGAATACAGAGATTGAAAATTTAGGGAAATCCTATGGGGGCAACAACTTGGATGAGAATCTGTCCTATGTGGAAGCAAAGAATAACCATGCCAATAAGGCCAGCTGGGTCTCTGAAGAAGAGTTCCAAGTGTATGTTGGGGCTGGCCGTAGTTTAATCTTTCTATAAACAAGGGTCTGATCCCCACTGTTTTTCTCCCTGATGTAGCTGTTTGCACTGGTGTTGAGCAGTTGCAATAAGATCTGGTCCTTTTTTCTCTTTCACACACATGAATGAGCAGGTCAGAAAAGATCAGGTCATTTCTTGTCATGTGTTTTGCCCATTGCTGTAAAAAATCAGACTGAGAAATATTGCTTTCTGCCTCTTGAATAACCTCTGCTGTTGTTGGATGGCCACAGACAATATGCTGTCATGTTCTGTATTGGGAGTTAGCCTGGAAAACATGGCTAGCAAAAGTTGATACCTTTACAGAAGGCTCTGGGCAATAAATACCCTTGGTTTATAGCCTAACTGTCCGTCATCCTCCAGGTTTGAGAATAACACATGGCTGTTTCTTCCTTAGGAATAGTATGGGATAAATACCTCAGAGAATCAGGAGATCCTGATTCTTCTACTGAGTAACACTGAGCAATTCACATAGGGCTGTATTAAAAGAGGGACAGATGCAATATTAATATTGGGATTACATTGTGGCCTGACTATGGAGGGAATTCTGTGTCCATTGAGTATGAATGAACATCTCTGATGTGGAGCGTTCATTCCTGTTTGAGATCTAGCCTGTTGTCCTTGAGATAACTCTTGCAAATCCTAGTGGTCACAACAAGAAAAAGGTTGCAAATGCCCTGTCTTCCCCAGACTCCTGCAACGTGTGCTGCATCTGGAACAGTCCATACACAGCATTGGCTCCAAGATTGATGCAGTGGTAAGCAAGCTAGAAGTGCTGGAGAGAAACAAGCTGAAAATGAAGGATTTGATGGGCAAGCCACTGGATAACAGTAGGAAGGTTGGTAGCCCTCCACTATACATTTGAACTAGCTTCAGGGTTGGTGACCAACCCTGCTGCATGAGTGGATGTATTAGCACCTTTTCTTTTCAAATCCCCATTGATGCAAGATAAAGTTGGCAGGGTTGTCATTTTGCATGGTCTAATCATTTCTGTTCAAGAGCAGTGGCACAGGATTCCTGTCAACATTCTTATAAAGGGCAGAAAGGGATGGTGCTCTTTTCATCTGTTCATTGCTTGAATCAGTATTCATCAAAGCATTACAACAGTGTATTTGATCTTCAACAGATTGATGGCCTTGTACTAGTTTCTAGAAGAATGTGGAAAATATTATTTAAGCATCATGGACACCTTGTCTCTCCCCTAAAGTGTTGCTTGGCTTCCTGTTGTGTTTCTGACAATGCAGGTCACTCTTTATTCTGGTTAACAGGAGGAAGAACCCAGTCAGGAAGAACTGCTCTCCCAGACCCCAGATCAGCTGAGGAAAGAAGCAGCAGAAGACTGGGGAGTGGAATATGTACAGGGAAATAACCCAAGTTGCATATCTTCTCAGAATGGGATCTGTCCAATCTTGCTCAGGTCAAGTGTACCAGGGTCTCAGGCACCCAAGAACATCCAGTCACAGTCTGAGTGCTTCTAGCAAACAGCCCAGTGTTCCCAGTCTGGCTTCTACAGTACTATATCACTGTCAGTTGTTTTTCCCACTGTTAGAATAGTCAGAACAGCTGAACGCAGGCACCACTGTTGCCAGAGACTGGTGATGTGAAAAACTGGGGCTGCTCTTCTCCAGCGTAGTGATGTGTGATATCACAGACCTAGAACTTCTGGCCCCTGTGCCTCTGGACTAGTTAGAAATTTGGAACCAGGTATTGCATTAGGTTTCTGTCTCTGTACAGGACAACTTAAAATGCTTTTACCTATATTTTCCCAAGATATAAAGGCATCAGAGCTCTGGAAGTACTTGGATCCAGAATGGGAAATTGCAAGTTGTTCCCCACAAACATGCACATCCCCACATGCCTGCATTCTTAATTGTGGGGAAAAGTTGAGGTAATCAGATTAACAAAACAGAATATAATCATTAGTGTGAGACAGAAAGGAGAAAGTAGTTGCGTCTACATGGTTACCACTAACTTTGTTCTGTTGTAATTTGCATCCAGAACATTTTGGTAACCCTCTTTGGTTACTAAAGATTCAGATGTTGGAAAAAATAGGACATAAACACCTCAGTCAAGATAATTAATGAGAGTTTACTCCCAGTGTACTAGGAGGAGATCTGAAATTTAAGCAGCTGTTACTGATATTCTGAGGTCTGAATGTCAGGGAACAGACTTCAGAGTTTCTAACACTGGATCAGCCCTGCTCTGGCCAGGCTCTAGAGCTGTCACAGCTACACAGTGACAGTGGTAGTGCTGACAAACTGAAGAAGAGGGTCATTCCATTGCAAGATCCCAGCGGGAGCTGTGAGACCCTGTCACACAACCCACAGCGAGCTTAGACTTCAGCTAGGATCTGCAGGTTCTTGCATTGTGGTTTCCCATCAGCTGCTTCTGCTGCTGGGGACAAGACTTCTCGGTGAGATACTGCCATGGTTCTTGACTCGAAGTTTTACTTAATTCAGGATTGAGAATAAGCTCTTTGCCTTCAGCTTTTCCAGCTGAACTCAGAACAATGATGTTGCTTATTTCCCCTCTACTCACAGCATTGAAAACATTATCTTATGCAGGAGAAAATAGCTTATGTCAGGGACCTGAGAGCTTAAATTAAAATTTTCATAAACAGGAAATCCATATGCTAAATTATAATCCAGAAAAGAAACTATGTGCTAGCAGACTTGAATTGCACACACAGCCCATTACCAATGTGAGAACTGAAGCATGTTATGGACTGTAGGTAAAAATGTTTAATGTTCTGCATGTCAAGAAGTACATAAGTTCTTCTGTTAAATCATTTGGAAAGACCCTGTTTGAGATCCTGGCTCAATAGCAGACCATTGTTACTGAGGCTTAGCTGCAAAAACAAAATTACAAGCTTCTCTGTTGAAATCTGTGGAGGGGAGAGATGGTGGAAAATGTGTTGCTGGCTGAGGCTCAGCTCCTCACAACTGCTGTGGGGTAAACAGGATCCTGAAACAAGGTGCTGCCCAGAGCAGGAAGGTGAGGCCTTGCTTTACAAAGCCTTAGATCTCACAAAGGAGAGAGCACTGCTTCATTCTGTCCAGTGGAAAAGGTGGCACAAGCCCTCGTTGTTGGCACTGTTCCAGTTCCCATCCTGTACCTTCCCTGCTGCAGCAGGGATGCTTCAGGCACTACAGAGCAGCACGTGGTCCTGCTGTCGCTGCACACCAGGAGCTAGCCTCTGTCTAGCCATCTTTCCTGCACAGAGACGCCCTGCATCAGGGAAGGCAGGAGAGGCAAAAGGACAGTGGTGCAGCAGCTGGGCTCAGAACCACACAATAATAATCACAGGCAGGTCACAGGTAACACAGGCTGCTATTTGGGGCAGTAGGCTACTAGAAGAGCAGAGTGGTCACATTGCATGGCTGAGTTTGTTCACACATAACTCTGGGAAGCCATCTTTCCCCTCTAAAGAGTAAGCATAGAGTCTCCACACTCTGAGTAGAGCTTTTGCCCAGCTCTAGCTGGGATCAGATAAGAAACACAGGCTGCAGTGGTCTCCTGGGTTTCAGCTAGAGCTCCTTCCCCTCTCACCTGTGTTTTCTCACAAAGACCACCCCCTATGCTACATGCTGTGATTTCAGTTGTGCCAGTATCACTAAGTGTGAAACAACTTCTGTCACCAGTAATGCCTATGCCTGCATTGTCTTCTCTCTTGCTTGTACCTCTGCATGCAACCGTCTTGTCTGTGCCATGACGTGCTGTCATGTAAACAATGTGGCCTAGAGTTAGCAAGGCAGTTACTTGTCTCCAGCAATTGCTTGTGTATAATGTTCAATTGTGTGTTCAAGCTGGTTGAGAAACAGCATAAATACACTGAATGGTAAGTTTATGCAAGTGCTATTTTCAGACGGATGTTGTAAGGCCTCCTGGCAGCAACTGGTGTTATTTAGATAATTCGTATCTCATGGGGGAAGTAAAGTGCTTTTTCCTCGACAGTGGGAGCAGAGCTGTATTTTGTTCCAATTTGGACACTGGCTGAAGTCTGACAGGAAGCCCCTGCCTTAAAGAAAATTGCTGTGTGCTGGGGTGGTTAAAGAGCTCACTGAGATAGCTGGGAGAGAAAGCAGTGTCACAGCTGTACTACCAAAGCACTTGTGTGGGGAGACTCAGCCTTGGACTGGGAGGGCCAGGGCACAGATGTCTGAAACTGGGCGTGGGTCACCTGAAAGAGGCAGCCCTATCCAGCATGGGTTGTGAGCATGAAAATCTCCTGAAATATCTTCTCAGTGTATCCCTCAAGATGCATTTGTCTCACCAGTGAACAGGTCTGACCGGCACATTGAAATCCCCCAAACCTGACAAATGCAGCCAAACTCTGGGAGACGCTTTATGACAGATGTTCAGTGTTCCAGCAGATGTCAGCTAGCACCACTACTAGCCCCTCACACCTGAGAATTGTCCTTTGCTGCTCTCACAGGAGGTGGGTAGCAAGCACCTGTTTATTTTAGAGAGGACAAACTCAGAAAAAATACTTCTTCTATGGCAAAAAGAAGCAAAACATGAAGTTTCCAACATTTTATAATGCTAGATATTCTCACACACATATTTGTCACAAACTCTGCCCTTCTCAGGCTGGTTATTCTTGTTTATCCTCTCTACAACTTTTATATAGGATTAGCACAGGCTTTGCTCCTTTTTGTAACAAGGATTTTTTACAAAATAAGTTTTTCACAAATGAAAAGATTCTCAATAAGAGCTAGTGTCAGCCTCAGTGCTGATTTCTTGACCTTCTGCCTCTTCTGCAAGCAGTTGTTAGTGGGAGTTGATAAACCAATACAGTTTATTAGAAACTAGGGAAAAGGGAAGTGAGAGCCTGTCACTGTGTGATAAGCCAGCTGATAACATACCCAGATAAACTCCTGCACGTGCAAAAGCAAGAAGCCCTGTACTGGGAGAATGTTCCACAGAGGAGGAATTCCAGTGTATTCAAAGGCCCAATCTCCCCAGGTTTGGACACAAAGGGGTGTGTTAAAAGAAGCATGGCAGATTTTTCAGAGGACTTTTGCAGGACGCATTGCCTGAGGAACTGAACAGGAAATGGCAGGTGTAGCCACCAGCCACCAGTACGTACGCAGAGTGCAGCAGCAGGCAGCTGGAGGGTGGTGAGTTCAGGCCGCACCCTCCTTTGCAAGAAGCAATGCCAATGTCACATTGATAACACAATGTGGTGTCTGGTGACAAGCCTCTGAACTCAGCTCATGCTTCAGAGCCCAGCTTCATGAGGACATGCTGCAGCAAGTCACCAGGAGAGCCTGAGTGCCTGGCATCATGACAGGGCCCTACAGTGCAGGGCATCCCCTAGAAGCTCTGCCTGGCACTGCATCTTGACTGTCATTCCCCAAGGACAGCAGTCCTACTCAGCTGGCATGCTCACTTCTGCATGTCAAAGAGGCCCAGCAGCCTGAGAAACAGCTTAGCAGAGCAACCAGCGAGGCTAAGGAGCCTGAGGTCAACTGGACTGTGTCTGGATGAGCTGTTAAATTCAGCCCTGAGGAAACGGGCTGAGAAACTATCCCAAATGATCATTTCTGCTGGCTGTCATTATTTTCAGGCTCCCCTCTTGTGAACAGGCACCAGAAATAGCAGCATGTCTTTCAGAGACAAAGAAACTACACGTGTGTGAACACATATTGCTCTAATGCATCAAGCCAATTCAGCTGTTCAGACATGTCTAGAGTTCCTCAAACAAAGCAATATCTGGAATTGTGCACAAAGGTTTTTGGAGACAAAAGGGCAGAGCTTTTCCTTAGATTCCTATGGAATAGACAATGGTTACTTAAATGGGATTTGGCATTCTTTCTGAATCCTTGCAGGAATACAAAGATTTTATCAAAAAGCCACAAAAGGAGTTGTCCCATACAGGCCCAGAAAAGGCCATTCCACCAGCCTGTGTTCTCCATCATAGCAGTATGGAGTCAAAGGCAGCAACCAGCTGAAATCACAGAGCACCAGGGTCTCAACTGCTCACTACATCACATTGACGTGTGTGACGGGGGGTTTGCCTTGAGAAGAGGTAAACAGCGCTTATGGCTTCCAACCTACCTCTAGACTTCCCACGAGCATTAAAGGTGGAGAGGAAGTACATAGCACAACACTGAAAAAGCAGCCTTAACCACCTCCTATCTGCTGCACATGCTTTGTTAAAGGCATTTCCAGCTCTGATTTGCCAGCCTTATTATGTTTGTCCAAACAGACTGATTAGCATTTGGGCACCAAGACCTGTACTCAAGTGGTGTGGCCAGGGCTCCTTATTGATGACAGAGTTGAATCATCATGTTGCCTGACTAAGTGACCAAAGGGTTGTTTTCGCATGTGTTTTTTCATAACCTTTGGAGAGATGACAGTGTTCAGTTTCTTATCCCATTCCTCCTAATGTTTGCTGACTATACTAAGCTGGGAGGAGCTGCTGACTTTGCCAAGACTGAAGAAGCCTTGCAGAGACACCTAGAAAATTAGAGAGTTGGGCAGTCACCAACTGCATGAAGTTTAACAAGAGCACATGTTGGGTTCTGCACCTGGAAAGGGGCAACCCTGGCTATACATACATGGAGGATGAGACACTGAAGAGCAGCCCCATGGAAAGGGATGTGGAGGTTCTGATCGACAGCAAGTTGAACATAAACCAGCAGTGTGCCCTGGCAGTCAGAAGGGACACCCAGGCCCTGGGGTGCACCAGG